TATTCAGCAGAAATAGCCAGATCTTTCTTGCTTCTTCCTTGTTTAAAGGAGAGGAAGTAGTGATGTATTCAAGCCTCCAAGTCTCAAGCCTGTACCTTCAAGTCTCAAGTCAAGTCTCAAGTTCTTGCAAGGTACTTTCAAGTTGAGTCTCAAGTTGAGTTTCAAGTCTGGGAGTCAACTTTAACAGAAAAAGGTGTTGTGATGTGGAGGGGGTGGATTTCAATAACTAGAAAATCAAGAAGTTGTGCATAAAGTTAGGGGAGAGATTCTCAGAAGGGAGCAGCAAATATAATAGGCAATAGGCTTAAGGTAGAAGGATCCAATGTGCAGCAAGGACAGGCTGTTGAATAGACCTCAACTGTTTCTTCAAGCCCACTGCCTAACATGTTTCCTGTTTCTGGGTGAAGTTAGACCAGCAGGTCAGTTGCTAAAAATATACAAGCTTCAAGTCAAGTAGAATCAGTGCACCATTTATTGCTGAGTTGAGTCCGAGTAAAGTCATTGAAGTGACTTGAGTCTGAGGAGGTTTGCACACTCCTTTTTCCTGTTCTGGACAGGGGCTGAGACTGGGCTAGGACTATGTGTTATTAAATTCTCCATGCCCAGATCAGAGGCATCCCATTCCCAATCGGAACAGTTCCCATTGATTTGCTAAGGATGGAAAAGACCTGTTCTTAGCTAAGTATGGGAGAAATCCCGATCTGGTATGGGAGCTCTGGTGGTTAAATGCCTGTACTGCAGCTACTCACTCACAAACCACAATGTTGCAAGTTCAATACCAGCCAGGGATCAGGCTCATCTGAGGCTCGAATCCTTCTGGGGTTGCTAAAATGAGTACCCAGCTTGTTGGGGGCAATCAGTTTACATTTGTAAATTGCTTAGAGACTGCATAGCGTGGTATGAAGTGGTATATAAATGAAGCTGCTATTGCTATTGCTATTGCTATGGGATGTGTCTGATATGGGCGCAGAACTGTGCGATAGTCCCAGCCCAGTCTTAGTCTATGCCGATTGAGAAAAGATGGCCAGTGTGATAATCTCCTAAGTCTACATCACTAGTAGGAAGATACATCAAGCTAAGAATAACAATGGAATAACATGTATACACCCATCCTGGACTAGAACAGGCACCAGGACACCTCTAGTTGTCACATTGTTAGCAGATATGATGAACTGTGCCTACTGTTGTAAGGAGCAATATTACCTACAATCAATACTGAGTGTATTGCAATGGGATCCTTTATTTTGGTTATCTGTGGCCCATAAAGTGAGCCCTGATGGTGCAAGAAAGCCCTGGTGGTGCAGTGGTTAAGTGCTGGTACTGCAGCCATACATTCATAAACCACAAGGTCGCAAGTTCAATACTAGCCAGGGCTCAGGCTTGACTCAGGCCTGCATCCTTCCAAGGTTGCTAAAATGAGTACCCAGCTGTTGGGGGGCAATGAGCTTACAGTTGTAAACCTTAGACACTGCATAGCATGGTATGAAGCGGATATAAATGAAGCTGCTTTGCTTTGTTCCAATATTTGTGGGGGGGGGGGGTTGCCACTAGCAGAAACAGAGAAACAAATAGTTTGCTAGTTTGTGGGAGGGGTGTGTGTGTGAAAAAGGTAAACATTCTTTCCAGGGCCCATTCACACTACGCAGTAATAGTGCTATTATTCCATGAACTGCCATGGCTCCATCCTGTGTAATCCTGGGGGTATGTGCTTTGCTGAGGCACTGGAGCTTTCTGGGTGAGAACTCTGAATGCCCCTCCTTAAACTGCAGATTCTAAGGTTCCATAGGACAGAACCACTGCAGTTAAACTGGAATTATAGTGCTATAATTCTACAGGTGCAACTGGGCAATCCTGATGCCAAGAACACTCGTCTCATCATTAGGAGGGAAGAAGCAACAACTATTTCACTGGGGATCATCAGAGACTGGGAAGGATTTTTTTTTCATTTTCCCCTCCTTATTAGTGCTCCCAGAGATAAAAGTGTAAGCCATGCTATCCCTATATTCTGAGATGTGTATGAAGTGTGTGTCTACACATGAGTGTGCATGTATTCATGCACATGCAAGCCCCACCATTCCCACACATACACACACCACACCTGTGACATTGATGCAGCCCTGGGGATACAAAAAGTTAATTACTTCTAATTTAAGAACTCCTTATCTGCTATGTGAGTCCTTATTTCCTTTGATGGTGGAAAAAATAGGTGCTAAATCAATAATTAATCACAATATTAGCTGCTGTTCATCGAAATGGTTTGTCCTGCTATTTTTAGCTCTTAAAACAGAATTAAGTAATTCCCAATCCACCTGAAATTTCTATTGATCTCAGACTGTGTAATTATTCCTTCCCCACCACCAACGCCTTCTTTTTGTATTCTGGATGAAAACATCAGAGGGCTGAAGTTGAGGCATGTTCAAGGTGTATTTCTGGAAAGGTGATTATCCTATAAAATTTCATTCTGTTACTGCATAACAATTGCATGTCTTTAGCAACAGGCCTTTGAAGTGTTTTCCAAAACTGAACGCCAACCATAATACGTAAGCATCATGCAAAAAGCAAGAAAAGAAAAGAAAAATGTAGGATGGAATTCAATCTGTTACCATGCCTGCCTGCCTTGCCTGAAATAAGTTAATTTCTCCCACAAGCAATTTGGAAAGAAATGTGGAAGGGTACCATCTGCATTATCTTTTTTTTTTAAAGAGTTGCTTTTGTTGTTTATGATGACGCTGCTGCTATTACTATTGCTATTTTAGTTGCTGTTCTTGCATATATCTTGGAAATGAAAGGTCTGATGGATGAGATTCTTTTAGAAGGGGGCTCAAGTCTCCCCAAAATTAATTTTCTTAGTCATTTATGCCAGAAATTATTTTCCCTTTTTGTCAACCAATTTTGGTCTGCCATATTATACCACAGAGTGTCCATGCACAATGCAGAGCAAAACCAATGAGGAAGATGCTTACTATCAGCCCTTCCACACTGCAGAAAAACAGTTTGACACCACTTTAATTGCTGCGATTCCATCCTGTGGAATCCTGGAATTTGTCGTTTGGTGAAGTATTCAGCCTGGTCTGTCAAAAAACTCTGATGCCTCATCAAACTACAAAACCCAGGATTCTGTGGGATAAAGTCATGGCAGTAAAAGTGGTATCAAATTGCTTTAATTCTGCAGTGTGGCTACAGCCTATGAAAACTACAATAATCAGAAAATCAGGATAGATTTTCTTAATACCTGCCTCTCTGTCTGTCATTGCAATCTTGATAGTGCCCCTTTTGCCAAAAAGACAAAAAATCAGAAACAAAGCAGCAGAGCTATTTAGACCAAAAATAGATAAATAAAACCACTGTAGCACATAAAAACAATATAAATGGCTAGTGTGGAGAGATGTGTCTCTTAATATCATTCCCCAAAGCCAAGAGAGAGGGGACCAACTGGAGCAAATGCTTCAAGAAATTTGAAGCAGCACAAGAGATATCCCTTTTTCCCATAGCCTATGTGAAGGGTGCTGCAGGCAGCAGGCTCTTTATGAGGGCCCCTCTTGCAGACATGTAAGGTGATGTGGGGGGGATGCAGACGAGGGTGTCCAAGACGCCCTGGTCCGCAGCGCCGCGGGGCCAAGGAAGCCTCACTGCGGGGCTTCCCCAGCGAATCTAAAAGGAGCGCCAAATTGGCGCTCCTTTTAGATTTAAGGGAAAGTGCGCCCCAAACGTGGCGGGCGCACTTTCCCTGACTCAAACGGCGCAGCGCATGTGGGCACTGCGCCGTGAGGTCACCCCCGGAGCGCCGGCCGTCCGGTGACCCGGAAGCTCCGGGGGCGACCTCAGGAAGAGGAAGGGGCGCCGCTCGTGCTCCTTTAAAGTTTGGACTAAAACCCAGAGCAGATTCATCACCTGCCCGGAAGACGGCTCAATTAGCCGTCTGCCGAGGCAGGTGATGAATCTGCTCTGGGTTTTAGTCCAAACTTTAAAGGAGCTGACACCTAATCCCTAAATAGGTTCAGAACTTTGGATAATTCCTTTAAAGTTCAGTCTAAAATGTGAACCCTTCTACATATGTGGTGGGATTGTAAAAAAGTGAAAAAATATTGGAAAAGTATTCATAATAAGATAAAAGATATCTTAAAAATTAATATGGAATTTGACCCCAAAATATATCTATTGAACATCATATCGGATAAAAGTTTAGAACTGAAGCATGGGAAATTATTATATTATATGATAACCAGTGCCAGAATGGTATTTGCCTATTATTGGAAAAATGTAGCAGTTCCTCATTGTGAAAATTGGTTAAGAAAGCTGGTGGAATTAATGCAAATGGATAAATTAACGATTATGTTAAGAGACTTGAACTGGGGGAAAAATGAAAAAAAAATATGGCAACCATTGGTTAACTATCTTAACAATAGAAATAATATAACAGTATAAATAAGTTAAGTGAGAGTCAACTGTGCAAAATAAGTGATAATGTATGAAATTAAGAGATTGTAATATATATTATGGTATCGACCAAAAATGAGTGGTACAAGGTTATATATTAAGAATTTCAGTTGCTATTTATACTTAAGGAAAGAGGTTGGGATAAATAAGATAGAACAAACATACCTTGGTGACGGCTCCAGGAAGTCATGGAACTTTTGGTTTACTTTCTTTCTTTCTTTCTTTTTCTCTTTTTTGTTTTTTTTTCTCTTTCTCTTTCTCTTTTTCTCTTTTCTCTCTCTCTTTCTTTTTTTTCCCTTTTTTCCCTTTTTTTCTCTTTTTTATTTTCATTCTTTTTTATTCATGCAACTAGAAATATATATTTTGTAATGCATATTATGTATATAATGTGTATAATTTTTATGTAATTCGGTACAGTTGTAACTGTTTATTTTTTTTCAATAAAAATTTATTAAAAATAAAATAAAATATGGAGTTGTGACATGACACCCACCCACATCTACTGCATGCAGATATTACTAACCAGTAGCTTCATGATGAGACATGTACTCCCTTGGTTAAAAGCCAGAGTGGTATAGTGGTTTGAGCATTAGATAATGCCTCTAGAGACCAGGGTTTGAATCCCTGCTCAGCCATGGAAACCCACTGGGAAACCATGGGCAAATCACACTTTCTCACCTTCAGGTGATGGCAAGCCCTCTCTAACTATTTGAAAGACCATATCTCCCCACATGAGCCTGCCAGACCTCTAAGATTTTCAGGGGAAGGCTTTCTCTTGGTGCCAACACCATCATAGACTTGCATGGTAAGAACACAAGAGAAAGCCTTTGCACTAGCTGCTCCCACTCTGTAAAACTCTTTCCCATGAGAGGATAGACTGGTCCCGTTCCTGATCTCCCATTGCTGACAGACAAAAACTTTTATTTTCAAGCAAGATTTTAATATGTAATTGTACCCAGAGAAGCTTCTTAATTAGATGTTTGCCTTTGTATGTTTTTAATGATTTTATATTTTAGTTATATTAATGTAATCTTTTTAATTCTGTTAATAAAATTGTATTTTTTAAAAGTATATTTTGTTAGCCAGCTTAGGTCCGTATTAGGAGAAAGGCTGCATATAAATAAAATAAAATAAAATAAAATAGTTCACTTTAGAGTTGCCATAAGTCAGAAGTGCCTTAAAGGCACATAGCAACAAACTCTCTCAGATACTCCCTTAGGTAAGTGGTTGTCATGGGTAGTACATGTACTACCAGTGGGGCATCAAACTAGCCCAAATACAACACAGGTTTACCTAACAATTATTAGAATTTTCTTTCCCTCTATTCTCATGTTCTGCAAGTATGATGTATCATCTCCTACCAACCTAACCTACTACACATGGTTCATTGATTATCCACCTGTGTCCTTTTAGAATGTTAATTTAATAGTAATCTTAAACACTGATGGTTTGTTGTACTTCTTCCTTCTCCCTGCCCACCAGTGAGCATCACTGACGTGCCACTTGCTGCCGAAAAGTATGTCTTCTGTATTTCTCCTTTCATTTTCTAGTAAGTAGCCAAAGTATTTAGAAATCCTCCCCTAGACAGCTTTAGTGCATTCCTCTGAGTGTTGTCTAGCAGAAAATTGTAAGTACCTCACCAGACTAAAGATCCATAAGATAAAGTCATGACAGTTAATGCTGGGTCAAGATGCTATACCTATTAAGTATAGATACACCCCAGATCTTTCAATAATGATATGGTGTAATGTGATTTCAATACTATGCACTGACTAGTACCCAAAGGTTCATAAATGCACCAGCTGAATCTTCCAAGTGGCCTTCAAGTCTGTGCTTCATGATACAATAACCTAAGTGAAAGACAACCAAGGCATGCCAAACGACTGCCAAATCAGACAAATTCAGAACAGATTGCAGCAGGTGCACCAAATCTAATTGTGCAAATGCACCCCTTGCCATGGCTACTACCTGACAATCCGGGGAACAAGGAGGAGAGCAACCTTTTATAGAATATGTCAAACCACAATCCCAAAGTCTACTTGCTGTCTACTAGTCTGCTTTCTCTGGATTTAAACTCTGCTGAATGAGACACACTCCCTCAGCCAGTTCTCTCAGATGCTTACTGGGGCAACAGCTTCATCCTGTGTTAATTGAGGGAGAGTGATACTTCCCTGACAACTGAAACTAGCATAAGGGAAACATTTGCTGTCACTGAGGGAATGTAGCTGGTGGGGGGGGGCACTGAAGGCATTGCATCTGAAATAAGAATTCTGCTAGCATTGCAGAGACTGACACTGAAAATCATTCACACCCAAGACACTCATTTTGGCTGTGTTTTCATTCCCTTCATAAATTTGCCTGCTCCTTTTCTTTGGATGCCTAAACTATATTTCTAAATACTAATATGAACTTTTTAGGGCTGCAGGAAGATTTCATTAGAGGGAATTCTTATTATGTCAAGGCTAGCTCAAGACATTTTGCAGTCATATGGTTCCCTCTCCTTCCTTACTATGTATCAAAGTCAATTGCATAGTTAGATCAGCCTAATTTCAACAAGACTATGAGATAGGGTCCTCCCTAAAGTTGTTTTCTTTTTGTCTGTTATGGCATCTTCTGCTTGGGATATATAAGAGACCTGATCCTGTTTCCTTCTGACAAACAAAGGAGACTTAGGCCCAGAAGATCCAGGATTGCCTCCAGCCTGATTCTGAAATGCCCGGTTTTGGGGACCATCACCAAAAGAAACAGCACACACACACTCACAACTGGGGAAGTTCCTCTCTACTAGCAGGAAGCATCTATACCCCATTCTAACTATTTTCCTTCTATTCAGTGGATTTATGGGGAAAGGAGCTGGAATCCTATTGGGCAGGTAGGAATGTGGAATCTACAGTTACACTCTTGTGACTGTTTCCTATTCATAAAGCCTAGTTTAGTCCCTAGTTAGGAGCTACACAGGAATTGTGAAGATTCTCCAATCTTCACTTACCAGGAAACAATTGTGATCAACAGGGGACTGTTCGTCAGCTGTTTTCTGAGGGACAGGGGAACAGACCCCATTGATTGCAGTGACTACTTCCCAGTAATTGAAAATTGGGGGGTTAGGGATAGGATTCACTACATAGCACCGTAACTAAGCTGTTTAAACGTACATAAATCTCCAACAGGATTCCAGTCAGGCTCACTCAGGGCCTTTACAGACTGCCAGAAATAATGCAGCTTGAGGCCACTTTAACTATCCTGGGTCTGTGTTAAGGAATCATGGGAATCAATCAATCAATCAATTTCTTTATTACAGCCATTCGGCCAGCACAAGTTACAATACAACACTTCTTAATTGTATACAATAGCTTCTTATGAGAACATACCAATAACTACAAACAAATCCTAATTTGTACAAAGATAAAAATAGGACAGTATAATTATCAAAACACCATGATAGCTAGAATTTCTAATAACCTCAATAAGATGAAATGGTATGACCTCATACATTACTCTAAGCATATAGTACTATCCCTAGGACACTTTGGTTCAATAACTACAATCCCTTTAGCTGGGATAAAGAAAGGATTGAACAGTATTACTAGTTAGTTACCATGCACTTCACAGCATTGTATACAGAAAACATGTTAAAATGCTTTTATCATATCATACATTGGTATTTATAAAAATATAATTGAATAAAAATTATATAAATTATAAAACAGGAGGGTTATTCTACCAACACATAGTGTGGCTATAATATCTAAGGGGTACTACTCATTTGGGTGGATATTTTTAATTAGGCTAACAACGTAAACCACACCTATACTACGACTGAGTCCCCTGTTGATACTTATCAATAGATTGACAAATACACTACGGCCGTACTCCCTCAGAATCATGGGAACTGTAGTTTATTGTAGCACCAGAGCTCTCTGACAAAGACGGCTCAATGGCCCAGAAAAAAAATACAGTTCCCATGATTCCATAGCACTGAGCTAGGGCATTAAAGTGGCTTCAAAATGCATTATTTCTGGCAGTCTGTAAAGGCCCTCACTCAGTTGCTGATTTGTAAATGTAGCTTCTATACTTCTGTTCAAAGCAGCAGCAGGAAGGGAGGGGGGATACACTTCTTTCTTCTTCTTCATCTTCTTTTAACAAAAATGAAGCTGAAGTCTTCTTAAATTCTGGAAGCTGGCATTCTCAATACCTATTAATCATTGCATACATTTCTAGTCATCAAAAGCAATGTACTATGTACCTGCAACAATCATTAAGCTAAGATAAATAATACATTTAAAGAATTGGGCCTTGGCCAGGATTGCCTCTGCAGGCAATTGGGATGATGCAAGGAAGGGAGGCTCTGGGATATGAAATGGCATGTGGTCCAACCTGTCCCAGGCATATGGAAATGTTGGCAAGATGAAATAAAATCATTATTTATTATGCCTGTATTCAGGATAGATTGATTTCAGTCAAGGCCATTGATGTTACTTCTTTGAACAACAAAGGGTGGAATAGAATACAGAATAGAATCTATTGAATTAACTGAAACTATGAACTTAGAAAAACTTGAGAAACTCTGCACCCAGAAAAACCCTGAAAGTACTTGAAACAAGTAATACTTAATATGCCTTAATTGCACTTTCTATTATTGTTTTAGAAGAATTTACCAAACTAATTAAATTAAGGGACTGGTGAAGAATTGATGAGCTTCTTTTTGCCCTTTTCTCCAGGAAAACCTGGCAGGTGTTTGAAATAACTTATATTTGTGGTATTTGTGATGTTTTTTATTATTTATTTATTTATTTATTTATTTGCTTTATGAATTATTACTGTTAAGGAAAATAAGGGCTTTTGGCAAATCAGAAATATAGGGTAGAATATAATCTCCCCACTTATGAAATTCATAGGTTGGCCATCTGAACAACTAGATATGGAAATAGATAAATTATATAGAATTAACTCATTGTTAGCAAAGAATAAGAACAAACCTAAATATATTGTAATCTATTTTGTAAGAGAAAGAGTCAGAGACCTTATAATAGAACATAACTACAAAGAAGAACTGATAATAGATCACAAGAAAGTTAAAATATTCAAAGCTATCCCTTTGGTGGTATTAAAGAAAAGAAGAGATATGCCTTCCTAATTCAACATCTGAAGTAAAAGGAGAAAAATTATAGGTGGGGAAAGGTGGAAGGGATATCATTCACAATTGGAACAAAAAGATTCAGACAATATAATTGCAAAAGCAAAGGAATTTCTTAAAAAACATAAAGATGATCCAGAAAATCAGGGCAGAATGGAGACAAGAGGGATGGGAAGGAACAAAGAAAGAGAAAGAGTAGAGGAAGGAAAGAACTTGAAGAATCATGAGGAGGAGATAAAGGAATTAGAGAAAGAGGGAGTGGAGTTAGTGGAAATATAAAATAAAGGGAAGAACAGGAAAAAAAATAAAAAATAACTTCCTATCCCCCCACTTCTTCTTGTACTCTTTGACCCTTCCTTATTAACATGTCTTGCTATAACTCCAATCTCTTGTCTTTGCCCTGTTTTTATCACATCTTATTTTCTTTGCAAAAATGGTGCATAATAAACTGATCTCTTGGAACAAAAATGGACTAAATTCCATCTGTAAAAAGAGAAAGGT